ATGAAAATAATTTTCCTGTAATTTTGTGTAATAATACAAGAATGATTTATTTATATAACACTTCTGCAGAAGTATATTTAATGTAAAAAAAATAATCTTTCATTAAGTACTTCAATATTATCTGCATTTTGAAAATTGAATTTTATGTCAATTGATTAAAATTTTATAATTAAACGTAAAACAAAGAATAAAAGTTAATTCTAATTTTTTTCATCTCCTTTCAACGTGAAAAAATAGAATGATTGGATTGAGATAAAAAAAGAAATTCGATCGTACTGAAATTGATCGCTATTTGAAAATTAAAACTGCGAATTTATGATGTTATGAAATTTCCTATTAATTCTTTATCTTTTATCACATTTTTTCCTCTACTCGTGCAGTATATCTCTTCCAAGACGAGACCTTTTTAATAAATATAACCTTGTGCAAATATTGATGGAAAACTGTCGTGCTTGGTCAGTCGTGCGATACTTGGCATACATACTTGTTGAAAACAAAGATGCAATTTTTTTTAATGCAGATAGTATAAATAAAAAATCGAGAAAAACACCTTGCGAGACGTATCGTGCTGCAAATTGCAGAACATGTTCATAGCTTGCACTTAATACACAGTTATTAAAATTTTTAGTTAACAATGTCGCGCTTCTTTGTATTTCTGGTCTTCTCTTCCTGGCTTGGGTAAGAAACATACACCTATTGATTTTATTTTTGCATCTCTTGTACAACAAAGAGGATTTCAGCCTCATCGCGATAAAAAATATTCTGTGAATAAAATTTAAAAAGTATGAGAAAAAAGAGTAAAAGATCTAGAAAGTATAATTTTAATAAGATGGGTTTTTTATCAATAAATAATTATCAATACTTTATATTATACTAAAAATTATATTTTTAAAGATAACTGCTTGCATTAATATTCATTACTATTGTTATATCCTCATGTATTATATTACATTATATTTCATTGATATTTTATTAACAATAAAAGATAGACTTTCTTATCATCAATAAGCCAAATTATATCCTTGTTTCTTTTAATTTAACGAGAAATTCGAAATTATCAAATGTAAAACTTTTTGCAAACTTTTTAATCAAGCTCTGGAAAGTGCGATATTAAATATAGAAATAAATTAAAGATAAATTATAATTAAATACAGAAATAGATTAAAGGTAAATTATATTTTTTTAAATATAATTTTTCACTGTATTAAATAATTTTTTCACTATATATTGAATATTAGTATTATCGCGTTTCTTATTACATAATAAATTTATGTGTGCAATACTTTTATTACATAATAAATTTATGTGTGCAATCTACTTATTTTCTTGAGATAAGAATTGCAACATTATCAATTTACTGATATTTATACGATATACGAACTTACATAACAACACGTATGTACGGAATCTATTTTTAAGTATTTTTAGCGCGCAGTTTCAAGTCACTTCTTCACTTTTTACATCTGTAAATCAAAAACAAATCGGTAAATATAGATCGAAACTATCGATTTTTATAAGAAATATTGGTAATCATTAACATTTGTGTTAACGTTTCATAGAAATTTATTGCTCCAAGTGAGATTTGAAGTTGGAATCCAATCTATTGTTTTTACTTAGGACGAGCATGGCTGCGATCGCGCAAGAATCCATTACAACTACAACGTGGGGTTCTGTAAATGATCAGGAAATCAAGAAGTTTACATTGAGAAATAATGCTAGTCAAGAAGTCGATGTCGTAACGTATGGTGCGGTGATAACCGCTATAAGAACGCCAGATAGAGAAGGAAACGTAGCGGACGTCGTGCTTGGCTTTGACAATATCGAAGGTATTCTTATAATTTTTATTTGCTTATATGAATAAATATTTGATAAGATCTCGTTCTATTATATCGATTTTATCATTACTTGGCCTATTCTTAAAGATATAAAAATTAAAATAAAATTATAACAAAATATTTACTAATAACAGAATTAATATAATAATTTTAGAGACTATAATTATAGAATATAATAAATGAAAATAGTTATACAATGTAAAAAATATATTATGTCTCATAACATCGAGGAGACATTACATCGTTTTATTTCTTTTCGCATGTCTCTTTTCTGATTGTGTGTACTGAAACACCTTTTATTTTTTGACTTAAGAAACTTTGGGTTTGTTATATTTAAGGATCTGATTCATTTCATGCATACTCTGTTTTTACCTCAAATCTAAGGATATTTAAGCTTATTATTTTGCTACTATTGACAATATAAGCATTTCAATGATGGCTGCAAGTAGCTATTATTATGCATATGTTTCTTTTTCCGCTATATATTATAATTGTGAATATTATGATATTTATTTTTCATGTTCAATCTGTTTTAGAGAGCGAAATAAAAAATTTATTATGTTTTGTTTTTACTGACTGTAACAAATATTTATGTTTAACATTGAAAATGATCCGAGTGTGATCGAAACATTTGTTTACTGCTAGCATATTAGATTAAATTTTTACTTAACGATATTTGTTTCTTTTATTTTCGTTCAATTTCTATATTTCGACGGTTTATTTTATTTTATATAATAATTTTTGGCCCTTTTTTCTTTGGTTTTTTTTTTAAATTATGAGCTATATTCTCAATAGATAATAAAAATATATTAATTTAAGATATCAATAATATTTTAAAGCAAAATATGAAATATATTTCCGCAGTTTTATAATAGTTAATATTAAATTAACATAAAAATAGTTTTATATACAAAAATTCATAAGGATATAAATTAAAGTTGCTCTGAAGAACAAGATCATTTCGAAAAAAATAATATTTCAGGATATCTTTCATCGGAGAATCCATATTTTGGTGCCACAATTGGACGAGTCGCAAATCGCATCGGCAAAGCAACTTTTGTTGTGGATGGCCAACGTTATAATGTGTCCAAAAATAGTGGTAAAAACAGCCTCCACGGTGGTACTCACGGTTGGAGTTCTAAGGTATGGAATGCAACAATTCAGAATGACTGTGTAGTGATGACTTTGGTCAGTCCGGACGGTGATGAGGGTTATCCGGGATCAGTAACAGCAATAGTGAGCTTCCAACTGACAAATGATGGAGAGTTGCGCATAGAGATGAAAGCCCATTCCGAAAAGGCGACTCCGATTAATTTAACGAATCACAGCTACTTCAATCTCGCTGGACATGTATGTAGTATCTTTCCTTTCTGATTTGATGCAGAAAGTATTTATATTTTCGAAAAAGATAAAAAAATTACAAGACAGCTTCTAATATATTTTGCAATGAACGAAAGAAATAAATTTAAAAAAGAACAAGTTAGAAAGAACAGTTCCGATGAACACAGATTGTGGTTTTATTGGAAATATTTTTATTGGAGAATTATGGGCTTTCTACAATAAATCGTTAGTAATAGATCAGAAATCATGAGCAGGTTGTGAGCGAATAGTAGTCAATAGTGTCATAAAATAATAATAAATCAGTAATCAGTAGAGATGATCAAATTTTATTTCTAATGATTTAAAACTTAGATCATGTTATAACCAATCACATAATGTATTTGCCATGAACAATTACTTTTAAAATATTGTAATGATCTAATGTTATTTATTTTGGATGTAAGTTTCCTAAGATTTTTTTTAATGATTTGTAATTTTGACTTACTACTGTATGGTATGAATGATGACTAACGGCTTATTGTAGAAAGTACAAACATTGCGCTCGTCATATGAGAGAATAGTGACAGATTTAACTTAATTCCATTTGTAATTATATCACAGATACAATAATGTCATTGCTAGACAATTGATCGATCGCGAAAGTCTTGTGGATTATTATTCATTTGTTTTTCAGGCCACAAATGCATCAGAATTGTATAAACATATGATCACTATAAACGCCGATTGCTGGACTGTCACGGATTCCGAAAGCATTCCAACTGGTGAGATTCAATCAGTTGTAAACACCATAATGGATCTAAGGAACTTAAAAAAGTTCGGTGATGTCATCGACAAAGTACCGGGCGGTGGATACGATAATAATTTCTGCTTGCCGAAGTCGTACAATAACGAGAAAGTCAATTTCGTAGCTAAAGTAGTGCATCCATCTTCAGGACGCTCGTTGAAAGTATACTCGAATCAACCGGGCGTTCAGCTGTACACGACTAATTCTGTACCTGAAAATGGCATTGTGGGCAAAGACGGAGCAAAGTATTTCAGACACGCCGCTTTTTGTTTGGAAACGCAAAATTATCCTGACGCTATAAACCATGAAAACTTCCCAAACAGCGTGCTGCAACCAGGCGATACATACAATCATGTTGTCTTGTATAAATTTGGAGTAAAAAATTAATGCATTTCCATTTCTATGCTATAAACTTTGAAAAATTAAACAAATATTAAATAATAATTAATCTTTTATCGTGTTAATCTATAATTACGACCAGAATTGGTAACGCATTATTTGTAACAAATTCCTTTTATAAATTACTCGTTACAAATTACTTTTTTCGGTAACGAATGGATAACGACATTTTTGAGGTAACAATAACGATTATTTCTAACCATGTAAAAATTTTTAACTAGACTATATATATATTTGTGTGTGTGTGTGTGTGTGTGTGTGTGTGTGTGTGTATCAGTTTTTGAGCTTTATTTCTTTACTAGAATTTTGACTTTTCTTCATAATATTTACCGCAAAAATATGTATATAATAGTGTTTTTCATTAACAGAACTAGTGTGCACTCAGTGCATTATAAAGTCATTGTACATAAATCAAGACAAAGATGTGTTTAATAAAAATATAGAAACGAATTAAACCGTGAAATCCTCAAACATTTATACAATGGCTTTAATGTGTACCGAATTCTACTAGTGAAAAACGCTATAATGTTCTATTAATGTCAAGAAAAAAAAGTGAGGACTCATTACATTTTGATAATTATATAAAAAAAGATAAACATCTATATCTATTGTTAAACTTAATAAACTTTTATAACATTAGCTAACATTTTATTCAAACTTTTTGTTGTAATTATTTTCCATATCGAAATTATAATAAAATGCACACCTAACTAGACAACGACGGCGAAAGATTAACTTCTAAAGGATTGTGTTTCTTTTTGGTAGTTGAGGCATCTATATTTTCTAGTAGCCTTTCTTGTCGTTGCTGTGTGATAGGTTTTGTGGCTGGTGTATAACGATCAGATATCCATCCCTCCACATTATATCCAATAAATCCAATAATACCCACAATAGGAAGTGTAATGTATTTACCGAATCTGCCCATAGATCTCACTATCAAGGGCCACATTTTCTTAAATGGGAACTGAAATGGAAGCAAAATTATTCCAACAAGTTTCCAAAAACTATAATCAACAAAATTTACAAAAATACACATTATATCAACAAATACACAACACATACAGAAATATATACAAATATTATATAATTATGATAATTATACAGAATAAATGCCGCAGCTTCAAAATCAATAAAATTAGACTTATTCGACATGTTTTTACATGAAACGAAAGAATCTGGCAGAAAAAAAGTATCGTTCTGCCCTGTGAACCAAGATATTAAGCGATGTGCTGATTCTACAATGAGTCGGTAGTTAATAGTCTTACATCTTAGCAGTGAAGTTGACTAATAGCCAACTTGTACAACGACATTGATTGATCAATTTCATCTATTGACACTAAGGGGTTCCGTACAATAAAAGGAACAGAAAACAAAAAATAGAGAATAAGAATTTCAACTTATAAGAAACTGTATTCCACAATACATGATTTCTGATAGATTGAAATTCTTATTCTCCATTCTCTATTCCGTGTTCCTTTTATTGTGTAGAGCTCCTAAGACTTCTGACTACATACTTATTGTAGAAATAGCATAAAAGCTGACGACTATTGAAGTTAGGAAATTTATCAGAGGCAAAATGAAGTCTATAATGATATGTCTATAATTGAATTGTTCTACACGAGTTTCGACTTTCCATGCGAAGCGACTCTCACCCTTCCTTCCCCCTGCAAAGAGGCACATTTCTATAATTGTACTGTTGTTGTTAGAAAATTTATCATGTAGACAGTAGGGAGTATAGACTAGTGCTTATTGATTCCAGGCGGCGTAGCTACCCCAAACAAAATAAAAATATCCTACCTGCTCGAGAGCTAGAATAGTAAAAAGACCGTTCTAAAAAGACTGTTCTCATCTCCCACTATCTTCATGGGTTAGAAATATTCCAAGCGGACACTGTCTACACTGTCTACAACTTCTAGGCAGTTAGATCTCAAGCGGGTAGAACTTGTTACTTTTTTCTTGTTCGAGGCGGCGTAGAACAGTACAATTATAGACTTCAATTTATCTCTGTGACAAATTTTCTAACCTCAATAGTTGTCAACTTTAACGTTTAATATTTCGGTTTCACGAGGCAGAGCGATACTTTTTTCTGCCAGATTCTTTCGTTTCATAAAAACGTCGAATAAGCCTAATTTTAAAGATTTTTAAGCTGCAGTATTTATTTTGTTTTTTATTTTGTTTATTAATTACCGTAATTATATATGAACACCATAAAAAAAAATCTTATAACATATAAAATTCGTAAATTAGATATTTAACAGAAGAAGGAAAGTGCAATTATTAAATTCAAATGCAAGAACAATTCTAAACTCTTTAAATTTCAACCGCGAATATACTTACACAATTATTTTGTGCAGGTTAGGATAAATATTTTTTTGAACAAGCTAGCCAACTTGTAAGGTTCATGGAATTTGTTCTCAAACTCTCTAAAATCTGATCAATGTGATTGACCATTTCAGAATTTCCACCTTCAAAATTAAAAACTAATTTTCTGCAAATTATGCTTTATTTGTGTAAAACATACTTTAAATTAATAATTAAGTTATATTTTGAATAAAAAAAATTAATTTTACGTATTTTAGTATTATATACATAACAAATATATATTACATCACAGATGCCAGATGCCAGATTCTGTTTTGCAGTTGGCAATTTTGAAATTTAATTATTCTTCTCATGGATCCTTTTCACCAATTCCACGTTCCAGTGGACATTTGGGAATTATATACGTACTTTGTTGTTAATTGATATATACGATTAATAACAATTAATTAATAATGCCAGCAACGAACAATGAAGACGATCCGTACGCACACGTTGCGAAAGGTATCCTAAAATTGAAAAACGAACAAACAATGAGCAAAAAGTAAGTACTTCATTCATTTAATGTTTTTGGTCGAATGAGGTTAAGTTCGTCATGGATTGTTCACTTTTGATTTGTGTCGCGTGATTTTTTTAAATAAATAAACGCTATTCTTTTCCTTCTATTGTAATAAATTAATCAAACAAATTATGTGTATCGTTTTTATAGGAAAAAGGATAAGAATGGAAAAAAGAAGAAGCTGGTGGAAGTGTCAAAAATCATTGAGGAGGAAAAACCTCAAACGATAGAAGTGAAACGGACGAAAGCGGAGCTGGCTTTTCAAAAAATGCAAGAGAAAATGGTAAGCATATGTAGTCTATTTAAACACATCTATATAATGACATCAAATAAAAAAAGCTTGACACTAATAAAATTCATTTTTTCAATAAATTGCAGCAAACTGAAAGGATTAAGCAGAAAGCCTCTAAGACACATAAACAACGAGTGGAAGAATTTAATCGACACCTGGATAGCTTAACTGAACATTTCGACATACCTAAAGTGAGCTGGACGAAATAAACTGCAATGTTACTTAAAAAATTTATTTATATTGTAATGTATTGTATATATAATATAAACAATAGTCTTAGTTTCAGTTAAAAATAACACATATAATCATAACATTTTAATCTTTAAATATCTTCAAATAGTTTTCTTCTTTTTATATATTTTCTGTTTAAAAAAAATGAAAAAATTAACTTAAATGTGAATTATTTTAACAATAAATTATTAAGAAAAACTATGAAGAGAGAAATCTGGTATATATTTGTGTAACTTTGATGCAATTATAGTATTTAAAGATTAAATAAATTCTCTTCTTTATAAACGTCATATGATAAAATTAAATAATAATATTATTAATATAAAATATTACAAGAAATTGTATTTATTTTATAAATCATACAAAATATCCTTAGAACCCTCTGTAACTTTTTAATGACTATAGAGATATCATTTTACAAAGGTCAAGAGTTACAAAATAGGGTCCTTGATAATATACATTAAAAGTGCATTCTATTTCTAAACATAATTAAAATAATAAAAACATTATTAGTTTCTATACTTAATTTGAAAATATATTGTCCTATCAGGTAAAAACATTTAAGATAAAAATAATATTAAAAAATATTTAGAATAATATTCTGGAATTAAATTGTCTCTATAAATGTTTCGATTTTTATACATAAAAATTTTATCGCATCCATTTTATTATATTTATAAAAATATAATGTAAAGCAGAATGCAGTCATTTTATGTAAAAAATTCTTTGTAAATCTCGTGGACGGACTTTCGATATGTTAACATATCTTATATTACGTATTATCTACTTACATAAAATTAGATATGAATTAGATATGAATAAAATTTAAGGCACATGTAACCACATAATTACAATATGGATGGAATGCTGACGCGATGCAAATTGACAGTTGACAGAATGGTTTACGAGCGCATACATGTGATATTTCTGATATGAAATATCTTCTATCGCGGTATCTAAAGAATCAATAAATGATTTCGTTCTTTCCTGTGTAAAGAATTATTTACATGTTAAAGCATAGTACTACTATTAATAGTGTGACAAGCAAAAACGAAAAGCAGCTGTTTATATTGCCGTTACTACCAAAATGGAAGATCTTTATCGTGTCCTCCGTTCCCTCCCAGGGATTGCTTCCGTCATCAAAGTACATTGGACATCGATCGCGTTCTCGCTCGTATTCCTGTTAAAAGATCGTACATGAGTGAATATAGTTTCACTTAGAATTTACATATTCGGAATGGCATTTATTCTCACTTGTAACTCCAGCGCGACTGATGCGCCTTCTGTAAAATTTTGACTTGTTACATCTTGTTTGAGATCGCAAAATGGACCGATGGCTTGAGACATAAGCACTCTATTCAAATCAGCCCTTTGATATACCCAACAGCGATATTTGCTGTAAGGATCCAATTCGCTGAATGTAATTAAATACGATTTTAAGTTTTCTTTCCAAAATCCAATACATATCATTGTATAATCAGGATCGCCTGTAAAAATAATAATATTGACAGTATAGCTACATACAAGATAGGTGGACATATAAAATATCAATAAAACTTACTATAAATATCAACCGGTTTTCCTAAATGATCCACAGACAAGCAGTATGTTTCATCAATGGCGATCTCCTTTTGATCGTTATCACAAACCGAAAAGTCCGATATATTCTGTTTGCAATAAATATTTGGTCGCGGAGATTTAGTGACGCCACCTATAATTCTAGTCTCAAATAGAACATCTCCTTTTTGATGGAACATAAATTTACCGGCTATCGGACAGCGTACCGGAACGGCATTTTTTGCTAATAAAATTAAGAAATTAAAATTAATATAATTGATTACTCTACCGGAAATACACTCGTATTCATAGATCGAGATACATAGTCCGTTTTCATTTCAAAATCACTTTAAATAATGTCTTAAGAACTAATACTCTGTGATTGACAACTTAAGACTGCAGTTAAAAGTATACTTAAGATTTTAAATATAATATAAGAACTGACTAAGAATACCGATTATAATATAAATATAAATTCTTATTTCAAAATCCTCCTAAATAATGTCTTAAAATGGTAATATGGCTTTGTAATTGATTTATGACATTTTAAAACTATATTTAAGATCTTGCAATTAAGAACAAACTATGAATATCGATTAAATGTTCAACTTTATATGATTATACCTAAAAACAGATCGTACTTCCACGTTTCCTTGTTAGGAAATTGCACCCAAGAACACACCGTATGGAAATCATCTTTTATCACAGCGACTCCACGTCTGTATCGGATAATATTGTGATGTCGCCGCACGAAATCGAAACAAACGTAGTCTTTTTGGCTGTAAATGTATCTCAATTAACATTTAAATATGTATCTTTATAATATATGTACAAGAATTTTAATAACTCGCTGAATTTTACGTCAATCAAAAAGATTTTTTTTACAATCTGGTAAACATACCATCCATCAACGGTCAATCTCGCCATCATTACTCTTGAATCTCTTTGTTCACGACAAACGTAAACCGTTCGTCGAAAACGCGCCACATCGGGATACCAAGTTTCGATAATGTGAGTTTCATTAATAAAAATATCTGCGTCGATATTAGCAGTGTTTATCCAATCTCCAGACATATCCTCAGGTAATCGACAACCGGGTTCAACTACTTCAGCCTTAACTGGCGTGATCCGCAAACGTTCAGGACTTTTTTCGACGGTATTAAGAGTATTACATTCAGCGGTTATTGAAACACCGATGTATAAATCGTCATCACGATTCTTTAAGAAGCATCTATACTTTTCATCCTTCCGTGACTCCTTGGTATTTGCTACAGCGAAGAAATGATTCTTATCGACGAACCAATCGCCCAAGCAACTGTATTCTACCACTGAAAAAAAAACGACATTTGTATACTGTAATATCAAAATGTATATAAAGACATACTTTACAAGTTTAGAAGCATTTATCAAAAGGAAAAAAGAGTCTACTTACACCCATCGTTGGTATTTTCCATTCCAGGACAGTGTTTATAAGTGATATTAAATTTTTGATTGGTTATAAGAAACTGGGATCCCGCTGTCTGACAAGATCTGATTTGTGCGTCTGGATGATTGCATTCTCCCGTAAATCTAAAGCGATTCTGAAATAATATATAGATAAGCATTTTTGTTATACATACAATAAAGACATAAATAACTCTATAACGATTTTCTTATCTTACTTGATAAGCAAATTGCCAAACTCCTTCCAGAGAAGATCTGCAATTCACAGGCACGTAATTCTCAGAGAATAATGTTATCAAATATTGATTCGCGTTTAAACCTGTACAGACATTACCCACAGTGGGTTCTACTCCAAAAGGCAAATTCACACAAGTCACTGCAACAAGATATTACGATTGATAACATACTCGTGGATTATGTATTTATATATTGCTATATAATTTTTTGAATTGGAATAACAATGTAATAATGATATAAACAATGTTAATGCAATAGGTGCTAAAGACTGTGATAAGTAGATGAATTATGCAATAAAAGAAAATAAATGTACAAGATAATGTAGATATGCTAGTCGAAAATAATAGTTAGTTAATTTATAAAATATTAATTTATATTAATTTATAAAATATGGATGGATGTGTACGTGATAATTAATTATTTGTGAACCAAGTCCCTTCTAGGCAATGAGCTAATAAATTATTAGTGAGTGCAAAAAGGTATGTACAAGGGAAATTTTTATAAAAGAAGCCTTACTGTGGAAAATAAACTTTAATTAGCAATTTTATATAATAAGTATGCTATTTTCATATAAACAAAAAAATGTGATATATTTCTGAAGTTAAATTTCTCAATTATACGAATACTTTTTGTACATCAAATAACACAATTTTTTATTTTCGCTCATTTTTAAGATAATTTAATACATATCTCTTTTTAGATAAAATAATTTGAACAAATATAATACAGTCTATTTTATTCTTCGTTAATAAATTGCTAATTAATGTTTATTTATTAAAAATAAAGTCTTTTTAAAAGATATCTTCCTTTCATGAATACTTTTTGCACTCGCTATCTGTAATTTTTTTGAATTAACAGATTCATTTGTTATTTGCCTTCCAACTTTTCCAAGACATTTAATGTCCTGACAAGCAGTTTTACGCAATGATAACAGCTTTTATGCAAATCTCGAAATACGAATGTGTAATTAACATGATATTCTTCCAACATGTTTACACATATGCCTCGTCCAGTCATACTGTTAGCATTTATTTCTGTTACAGTACTCTTGGATTCCCATGAAAACCAAGATCCCCTGATAATCAGCGGAATTTGACAGCCCCTCTGACCTGCAACTGTCAGATATTTTATTAGCATTAATATATGCAATTATACTATTTTATCTGTATAATCTATTTATTAATAAATATATGTACATGTAAATTTTACTACATAAAATAATTACTCAAATTTTTAATGAATTCAGCAAAACATTTATAAAATCTCTCAAATTTACTTCACTTTGACTTAAAATATAAAAGTATAACTTAGGAATAAATAAAATGTAAATATAACACGACGAGATATTAAGTATTTAAATTTAATCAAATGGAAAAATATCATAAGTTAGCTTCAGTTTATGCACATACAGTATTTGACTTCACTTCGTAGAAATTTGTAAAAACTTACCATACCATACAAGGCACGTTACGAGAGAGAATATACATAACCAGCATTTCATCGTGCTATATCATTTGAAGGGACAAAAATAAAGTAAAAAATTCGATTGTTGTGGTTGTAAGTTGTGATGATTGATAAATTTGAGGCAAACCTAAAACACACGCCCAGTGCTATTAAGCACAGTTTTAAAGCTACTTCAAGTTCTGACGTTACTTCAAGCGCGTTCTCATCGACAACCGTGCTACACTTTTCTGTACTTTGTTGTGATAGAGAGTTAAAAAAATATAATAAAAGAAAAGCGGCTTATATTCCAGAGTGGGAGATGGGAAAACCTTCGTATTAAATTCTTTTTTCTTCCGATATTTTTCTCTTTCACAAGATAGATTTAAATAATTTCAAACTGGTCTTTATATTCAATAATCTATAAATGTTTCAGTAATGCAAGAGTAGAGGAGTAGTGCGGGTAACTTAATTAACTTAATTCGATGTGAATAATGCTGACATCACTAACAGAGTTGTTAAGCTGATTCATTCATATTTATCGTGTAAAAATTACATTTTTTTGAAATGTATTTAGTTGGATTGACTGGTGGCATTGCCACTGGAAAAAGCACAGTTGCTGCTGTTTTTCGGGAGCATGGCATCCCTGTTATAGATGCCGATGTAATTGCTCGGAAAGGTTAGGATGTATTGTACTTTACCCTGTCATGTCCGACATATATATATATATATTTATATTAGGTGTGAGAAAAAGTTTGTGGCGTTTTTCCCGTTAGATGCATTTAAAAAACGCCACGAACTTTTTCCCGAACTTTTTACCTAATATATATGTATATATATATA